TCTTTCCCCTAAAGAAATTAATTTAACATGCCAAGTCCTAAAAGTAGGGAGGGAGAAAGAACCATATCTGCATCTAATGACTATTGCATTTAAGGGAAAGATGATATAAATTTAATAAGTAGTATCTGCAGCGAATGGAGAAGGAAGAGTTGGAGGGATCCTTATTACAAACTGGAAATATGAGGCTGTTTTTTATCTGGTGGTGATCATCAGCATGAGGTGATGGAGTGAAATATGGTACGTGACTACTACCTAAGCATCTCCATGCATCCTTGTGAGCACGTGCATAGCTGGGAAGAGGATAGCCTAGCAGCAGGAGGGATAAGCAAACAGCATGAGGCCTACTGGCTTATTGCTTGGAACCAAGCACTGAGGTTGTAAATAATTGGGATATCTTTCTTTTGTTTTGCTACATGTCATAGCACCAAAAAACTGTTGTCTTAGGTGGAAAAAAATGTCGTGATGCTCTAAATTACAAAGAGCTGGTTAGGGAATTTAATATGGGTTTGCCTGTCATGTACAGAGTACTACAGACATGTTTGAGCATAAATTGTCTTCACTATGTAATGGTTTGTGCTTCACAAAGCTGTGCGGTAAGTTAACAGCACTGTGTGTGGAAACCTTTATGTTCAGTTCTTCGAAAGAATCTCTGGAAGCTAAAACTGCTTTATGGTTTAACTTTGGATTTAACATACAGTAAGCCTCAAACTTGCGTGTAAGCTTTAATAGGACAGGAGCATCTTAAACTTCCCGATTATCCCTCTACTGAAGGAGGCAAGCAGTGTGTTTGGAACCGAGTAAACATTGACCAAATATGAGCATGAAAACAGTGAGGTGCTGGAGGTCTGACAAAGCAGAGGGAACTGGTGACTAAACTGGTGGTGCATTTGTTAGACAAGCAAATGTGACTTGTTACACTGCATCTTCATTCCATTTCTCACCGATATGTACATTTTCCTCTTTAACCTGGTGAGTCTTGTGGACCACAAATGTCTTTTCTCTCTCGTGACTGCTAGCAGTAAAGATGTGCAAACACAGAATAGTTGGTTTCATCCAGAAACAATAGAACTGTGTTTCTAATAAATTGGTATTATAAATTTCCAGGATTTCAGGTTTTTAATATAGTAAATTAAGCTTGATTTTATTTTTTTTTTTATCTGCCAGACCTTTGTTGTTAGAATAGCAGGCTTGATTTTTTTTTTCAAGAAAACAACAAAAAACTGTGCAAGATGAAAGGAACACTATGAAATAGCAGTAATTGTTTAGGAATCACTTCACTTCCCAGAAGTAGAGGGAACTATTTTTTCTCTGTAATCCTGAAAAATGATACAACACCTGAGGAAAACAACTTAACCTGGAACTACAAAACAAAACCTCAGGCAGTGTCAGTTTGTTGCTGCTGTGTGTTATGCAGCTATGCAAACAGTCCATGTCAGCTCCTGTGTGAGCAGTATGAGAACGTGTTAAGTTGGCATGTTGTGTCCTGTGCTGTCATGCAGTCTTAAATATGTGATTAGCTGCTTTTTGGGTGCTTTCCTTAATAGAATGGAAGATTGGGAAGCCTGTCTAATTCAGGGTTTGAAGAATGGTGACTGAAAAGGGAGTGAGTATAAAAATGAGGCAAGTTGAAGGGAGGATCTGAGAAATGAGGTAGGAAGATACGTGGAGTCCCGTGAGGCAGGAAGGAAATTCATGGATCACATAATTGCTGCAATGTTGTTGAAAACCCAGCAAAAAGAAACTGAGTAATGAAACATTACATATAGTTGTATTTCTGAAGGGCATAGTAGAATGGTTTCTACTGTTCTGTTTAGGCTCAAACATTTTCTGAAACTTCAGTCAACCTTTTTCCCCTGACTGCTGCTTTCTGTCATGTCAGAGGATGAAGTTTTTGCTGCTGCAGCAGAAGTACCTGGAGTACCTGGAGGATGGCAAAGTCCTGGAGGCACTTCAAGTTCTACGCTGTGAACTGACGCCTCTGAAATACAATACAGAACGCATTCATGTCCTCAGTGGGTAAGTGGCTCAGACTTGGAGAGCTCTTTCGGTGGAGTTTTCTGAGGAATTCTGTAGCTTTTAATAGCTGACACGATAAAAACTCAAACTGTATTAAAACTACTATCCTGTTGATTAATAAACTGTAGTGAGATATGCTGAAATGGTGAGTAAAGATGGCTATTCAGTAGACAGTGTTCCGCTTCTGACGCTTGAGTATAACCTGATCACGATTTACTTCTGTAGTACTAGAACCCAGATTAAGGCATATGCATGTATGGTCATCTGGTCTTGAAAATCCTGTTATCTTACAATTGAATAAGTAGGTGAATACAGTCTGGTTTGTTCTTAGATGAAAATAACATTTCCTAAAATCTGTGGGCCTTTTATCTTTTTCCGTTGCCCATTTGTAGGCATTTGTTCTGAAGAAGGTGCATGTTTGTGTGGAATAGCTCCCTGCCTTTTTTCCTATCTGTCTCAAGCTTAAGTCACCTATTTCCAGTTCATTAAGGATGTTATGATCTAGATAATGCTTAAAAGTGGAAAGAATGATTCCAGAAAGACTTGGTCTGTTGGTGTGCGTGTGCTTTTTTTTAACAGGTATCTGATGTGTAGCCATGCAGAAGACTTGCGTGCAAAAGCAGAGTGGGAAGGGAAAGGAACAGCTTCCAGATCTAAACTTTTGGACAAACTCCAGAGTAAGATGTTCTAGTGTTTAAAATTTATTCCCACCTTTCTAAATCCAGTACATCTTGCATAATGATGTTTCCCAGGGAATTAGCTTGAACTGCATTTGCTGGTGGTTGGTTTTTGTATTCCTTCGTTAATGGGGATGAGTTCAGGTGCCTTTACCCTTTTGGTCTTCTGTAGCTAACCTTTTGCCATCTCTGATAAACTATTTGTAATGGGAGCTCTTATTTCTTAGCACTGCTGCATGCAGTAATAGTATAACTTGGTGATTAAATGTGCAGTTCAGAGGGGGGAGTATCTTGTAAATGCCAGCTGCGCTAAGGTCGAAACGAAGCGTGGCCTGTAATGGCTGGTGATACTAGTACTGGTTTATAGTGGTCTCAGACTTCGCTATGAATTATGGTTTGTCCTTTCTCTTTCGTGTGGCTGGTGTAATACTATGTATAAGAGTTGTAAAAAATACAATAGGTTTTATTTTGGTAGTGTAATAGGGAATTCTTTGAACGAACACAGCTGATGCTGTTGGGTTTTAACTTTACAGATTTTGTTAAATATCAGGTTTGGAGTTAGCTTGTGTAAATGGAGCTTGTTGGCTGGGACAACATGTAGTATAACTACAAATACCTTGCATGCAGCTCTGCTTTCCAGAAGTTCCTGCTTTCAATTCCAGATGTACTGCTGTAAATTTGACAGACTGACTGCACTCTTTTCCTGTAGCTTTTAGGCTTTATTTACTAAGGTCTCTTCCAAAACCTCTCAAAATATGCTCTTACTTGTAACTTGGTTTTGATATATCTTTTCTTTTTCTTAATAACTCTTTTAAAGCGTACCTGCCCCCATCAGTGATGCTTCCTCCAAGGCGTTTACAGAACCTGCTACGTCAGGCTGTGGAACTACAACGGGACCGGTGCCTATATCACAATACCAAACTAGATAGTAATCTAGATTCTGTCTCGCTGCTAATAGATCATGTTTGTAGTAGGTAAGAAACCCTTCTGACTTCTAAGATGATCTTTTCTTTTGTCTTGTAAAATAATCTAATTGTACCTACTGTTAAAAGGAACACAGAAACTGTTCTGGGTTGGTGAAACAGGTTTAACTGCCTTGGAAAAGATGGTTCTTATTAAATGAGTAGTGATGGGGAGTAGAGAAGGTGTGTGTAAGAGACTTTGGTAGCTAGATATAGGGTAGTGGGGTCAGACTAAAGCTTTAAAATTTTATTCAAATGGCCATGAATAGAATATGTTGCTATGCTAATCCTTAGCCACTTGTTTCTTGTAATTTTGGAAAGCCAGTCTGTTTTTTCATCAGCATGCGATTGCTGTGTTTTTTCACTGGAGAATCACCAGTACATTACTTACCCAGACGCTGTCTTCAAGCTTGCTGGAATGCAGAAAGCCTACTGCAGCACACATCGTGAAGTCAACTGTCTCAGCTTTCAGTAGTGGACAGCAAGAGGCTTTTAGGCACGAAGTTTAAAACACAATAGAAACGTGCAATAGGCATTTCTGTTTTACAAAAGAGATGAGTGATAGAAAGAACTGTTTTCTCAGCTTTGTTAAGGTAGTAAGAATTGAAGATCTTACAGCTACGTATTAGCTGTTAAGACTATCTGGCTAACTTTTTAAACAAAACTGATGCTGCTTCTGATTCTTCAAAATGCTGTACTCCAGTAGACAGAACAGGAAGATATTTGTAACAAATGACTGACTTGAGTGGTTTTTCCTCATCCAGCAGAACTCTGACCAACAAACTCCATGTAGCTTTTATGGAAAACTGCTGTGCGTGATGTACTACAGGAATGAGGGCTAGGACAGCTGGAAAACAAGGGCTATATAGAATAGCCTTGTACTTATGTTCATGGAACAGGCCAGTGCTTGGGCTCACAGGGGAAGTTTTTTCATGTTGAGGTTAGCTTGTCTGAGGAAGTTACGTACTGAAAGTTGCTTATAGAAACTTTCTGCAAGCGGCTTTGACTTATGTTCTTGGGTTACTTGGAATCTGTTTTTAAAGGTGCAGACTTCCATAGTACGGCACTGTAGCCATCTTAAGGTTTTTAAATTAATGTCCTTGGCACTTCATGTGTTCAAGTAACTTTTTTTAGACTGTTGTCTTGGTTGCAGTTTTGAAAATGCAGCAACGATGTGTTGGGGTGTGTGTGTGCAGGCATTGGACTGCTCCCTATTTTAAAAGCCATTGGAAATGAGCAGATACTGGGGTTATGCCTTCCCTAATTCAGAAATGAGTCTCAAAATCAGACTAATGGAAAGAAGTTTAATTTTAGCCTTTCTATGAGTCCATAAGTAACGTTGTTCTGTAGGGGTTTGATGTGATCAATCAAACCCCAACGAGCATTCAAGCCAACTATAAAGAGTGTGGTTTATTGAAGTTGGAATAGCTAGAGCTGGATATAAACCAGCATATGCAACATACGCATATATGCAACAAATCTGGACTTGAATTTCACCCATCTGAACCTATTTGCTGATACAAATTTGGCTATAGTTTTGGGGGTGGGTTGGGGTTTTTTTTTTTCACCTGATGTGGTACTTCCTAAGCTTGCATATTTGGTATGTATACATACATACTCAAAACTATTTTAATTAAAAAAAAAACCATTTCAAAATAAAGGCTTCCATTCTGTCCTCAACTCAACCTATTGTACCTACCTATTGCAGGGATCTGAGATCAGTATGTGGTGCGCTGTACGTGCTGCCATGCTTGGGCATAATGAGGTGAGTTAAAGACAGTGGAAGCCAAATTTTGATTAAACTGACAGAAGTAACAGTAGTCTAATAGCGTAGACAATTTAAATTCTGTACTACTTAAATGATAGAACACTGACAACTTTCCCTTTTTTAGTTGGAACTAATCTGTTTTGGACTTCTGGCAATATTTTGATCAAGCATGCTTGAATTGCACGAATAGGTAAACTAAAACTTAAATCACTTCATAAGAGCGGGAGCTAAGAGGGAGAAACTGCTGGGAGTGACAGGAGGGATTTCATCTTACTGTGTCTGAGATTTTGATAATAGAGAATTGGTGCTCTTGGGGGTGGTCGTTTTTAGTTTTGAGAGCTTTCAGCCTAGCTGGGTGTTTTGTTGTTGGTGGTTTTTGTGGGTTTTTTCCTCCCCCTAGAATTAATTTGTTGGCTTTCATGTGAATTAACTTTAGTCTAAAACTACCAACCAACAGGGAAGCCCAAATGAGAGGTAAATGCTGCTGCTTTCTAGTTACTAGTTCAGTGCAGCATTTTTGAAAAAGAACCATGTGGGAGTTAGGATTAAATCTTCAGTGTACGTACAGGGAATTAAAAAACACTGAAAATATTTGGTGTTTTATTTAGAATTTTGAACTTCTGTAAATACAACATCAGGTAACTTTTTAGGTACTTTATTTCAGTATGTGAACATGTTTCCAGTGTGTTGTGCTGAAATGAACAATTTGCAATGAAGCACTTCAAAAAAGAAAAAGAAAAACCTTTGAGCTACAATAATACCTAATTGCCAAACCCAGAAACTGTTAGACAACTGGTTTTGATTTTTTGTTTGGAGCCTGCTGCTATTTCCTTCTGCAGAAGGGTTATTTAATGTATGCTTTGCTCTGTGAAGTCAAACTTGCTCCATGGTATGCTTCATTAATTAAGTGTAGAGAACTTTTTGTGAGAGTGCTCTGATCTCACTGGCTTGTGAATAGCATAATTCGATATTCGGATGTGTCTGCAGCAGCTCTTTCAGCTGTGCCTGTTACCCTTTTTAGGAACCTAAAGACTGCCTTACTATGAGCGCTGAGTGCTCCAGCATTATGCTGCTTACTTTTCGTGTCTACAAAACCTTGGCTGCTCTTCTTAAGCTTTAAAATACAAGTGCTATTGTTCTATAGAGTATTTTTTTAAATGAAATATGCTGAAAAGGCTTTCCTGGGACACAGTGTGCCCCTTGTACTTTGTGTGAGTACTTTGTGTGTATGGGTAAAAGACTCTTTTACCTTCTAGAGCAAATTGCTGCTCAGAGGAAAAACATTAACTTACTGTAATGTGGCTAAATAATAATGAAATGCGCTTCCTGTAGGTACACATATCTGTGTAAGGGCTTGCCTCCCTCCCTCTAGACTTCAAGGAAAACAAAGTCTTCTTTCATGGGTGGGGCTTTTTCCTTGGGCTCAGTGTTGTTCCCGTGGCAACTAGACAGCTCTTGGTCAGCTTAAAGCAGGAGCAGAACAGACTTGTGTTTCTCTGTGAACGAGTAACTAGACATACCCAAGGAAGCCAACTACAGATATGTATGTTTTGTTTATCCTCCTCTCTCATAAGACAGGAAATGAGGGATGTATAGTTGTTCAGTGGTGCTCCATAGTCTTTAAATATGTACTAGGAAGCATCTCCTAGTAAAATAAAATGGATTGAGAGGATATAGACACTGTAATAAGCAGAACTTTACCTATCTTCTAGTAAGAAGTAGCTTTTCAGGTGTCTGTCACACCAAACTCTATTTTTAAACACAAATTTAAAGGAAGAGGAGTGTTTTCTTTTTAGGCCAGTTTATCCCCAGTAATAAGTACGGCTGTACGTTCACAGAGATTGTTGTTGCATTAGTACTGTTGTGTCCCCCTAGAGTTGCGTTGCCCTGTTGTACCGAGGACCATAAAAACTCACCATAAGACTACACAGCTTCAGGAACCCTGCAGTTGAAGGAAAGAAACATGTCTGTGGCTAGAGACTGCCTTCTGGTGCACCTGAACAATGGACTTGTAGTCACTGCAGATATTGCCTATAAAAGCAGCCATGTGCTGTAAAAGCCTACATTTATTTTAGCTTAGCTCTCAAGCTCTTATACAGTGGTTAAGCTGTAAATAAAAAAACTTGTTTTCAATTCTTACCTTAGTATTTTGACTGTTAGCTTTTCCTCAGCGTGTAACTAGAAGGTTAAATATTAGCTCGAGAGAAATGTTTGACTCTTCTTCAGTAGTTTATCATACTATATTTTGTTTGATAAACACTTAGCGTTTTACAAAACCACTTAGATTTTGTGAGGGAAAACTTTTCAGTTGAAAGCTCGTAATGGTATCCTGTTAGTTGTGCGTAGCTACTGCATGTGGTACTCTGCATAGGACGTGAAAAATGGCGCAGAATGAAGGCAAACACCTAACTTACTGCAAGATCGCAGTCAAGGAAAGGACATAAGGCTATTTTTTTTTTTTTGCTCAACTTTCATGTACTAATCACTTCTGAAGATTTGGGAAGATATAGCTAAGTGAGTTAGGTACTTACAGCAGCCTTGCATGTAAATAGAACGCTGCACGTAGGGTGCAAAGAGGACTGGGCTCCAGTATTTTCTGTACATCAGAAGTGTACGGTAATAAGCAGTTACGCTCCTGATGATGTCAGTTTTATTCTAAGCTGTATGAAAGCATAACACATTACGTGACCAGAATAAGAATAGTTCTAAGTTCTTACAGTTAGTTACAGTCACTTGGTGGTGTGAGCTTTTTACCAGATAAGACATTTCATTCTGTACTTGTTTGAAGCAGCTGTTAGTAGAGGAATTTTTCTAAGCTGTCTGGTCTTGCATTTAAATAAGTTTGTTTTAGTTTTTACTAGCTCAATTTAAAATATCTCCTACTGCTTTCTTATTAATCTGCAAATACATCCCTTTCTTTTCCCAGGAAACAGTTCCCATGCTATACACAGCAGATACTAACGGAGCACTGTAATGAAGTGTGGTTCTGTAAATTCTCCAATGACGGCACTAAACTAGCAACAGGATCTAAGGACACAACTGTTATTATATGGCAGGTGGATCCAGTAAGTGTGCAACGTGTTAAAATGTGTGTGATGTGTCTTTCCCTTCCCTCTCCACTTGCTAGGATGGTTTGATTTTTGTAGGGCAGGCTAAGATGCACTGTAGCCTGCTGACTCAGGTGTTTCTCTGGTATGTGAAAGACTGAAGATCACAGTCAGTGTAATTTAGTGGAGGAGGACACCTGAAAACCTGATGTCTGAGTGTAACAGGCTTCAACTGTTGGCTGCTTTGGGGCAGGAACTTTGTGTGCCCCTAAACAGCACCATGGGGTAGAGCCTGCTGGTGCCCTCAGGGGAGCTTCTCTGCTTGAAGGCCTGGAGGAGCATTGGGTGAGAGTGGAAGGAGCACGGCAGCGAGGAACCTTTCATCTACATTGCTCTTTCTAAGCGTGCTTCTGACTTGTGTGTGTGACTAACCCCTCTCATTATCCTGTTACTACTAGTTTGCTTGGATTTAAGTACTCTGACCATTTTTTACTTTATTTCTGAATCCTAAAATGGTATGGTTGCATCAGTTATGCCACTTCATGTTAGCTGCCGTTGTAAGATTTGTCTTGGCTTGAGATGAAGGTTTAAATGCTTGTGAGAAGCCACTGACACATGGAAGCATACTCAGCCAGTGTCTTGCAGATGGCGGTTTTAGGGTTTGATGCTAACATGTGTCACTGCTCCTGTTACGAAATATCCTACAGAGATTTATCTTTCCTACCCATATCTATTCTTATGTAAATAAAAAGCTTAAGTGATGAATCTAAGACTGTTTTACTTGACTGGTAGTAGTGATGCAAAAAAAGTCCATAAATTTCATAACAATTAAAAGCTGTGAATAAACTTGAAGATACAAGCATTAAAAACTTCAGATATTGTGTAAAACACTATCAGAAGAAAGACCCTTATGTTTTTAACCACACAACTGCAAACTAGTGTGCTAACTGGCTATACTGGCTAACTGGCTATACTGGCTTTCAGTGGGATTTGAGAGCTGAACTCAATCCTTTTTTCCCACTACAGGTTAGGAAGCCATGTAACTTGAGTCCTTTTTGCTATTAAGAGGAATGTGAGAACGTTAAACTCTGTTCCACGTGCGTAGTTGTTGTGTAGCCGCTGAGCTAACAGCAAGTGCTGTGGGTTTTTCAGGCACAGAACTGTTGTGGTTGGCTTGTTACTGGGGTCTGGGCCAAGAGACACGCAGTAGTGTAAGCTGACTTCTGTAACTGGCATTGGAAACTATCTGTAGCTTTGGGGTTTTTAACAAACAGCATGATTCTAAGTAAAGTAAGGATCACATGTTTTTGCTGTTGACTTGTTACTTGATTGTGGAGGCACATCTTCCTCTTATATTGATGGGTTTTAATACCCATCATCTTGATTAGCACACTGTATAGGGAGTTGTTAGCTAATCTGGTTAATCAAACCAAGTAAGTGTTTTGTGAGAGTCTTAAATTAACCCTTTTGGCCAAGGGTTACTAAAGGACCAAAATCTCTAATAAATAGTTAGTGGGAAAGCAGCTCTGTAGAGTTTCATCTCCTGTGTTTGGGAACCTACAGGAAAAAAAAATTGAAACCCTTTCAAGGAGATGGATGCCTAAATAATACTAGGCCACATACTTGAAATGGTTCATTTTCATATTTGCCAGAGCACGCCTCTCACGTTTCCTATAGCAGTTGGCAATGTCTCTTGAACCATAAACTTAATCAGGTTTTCCAGGCTTTAGATATTTGGAACTATTCTAATTAGTACATACAAACTTCAGCAAAACATCTGTACGACTCTGTCCAGGCAAGTGATGGGAGAACACTGTTTTAAATGAACAGTATTCTTTTTCCACACACACTTCATGTATGTGAGACTCTTCCACTTCTTCCTTTCTTTTCTTCATCATCTCAAAGTGTAATCACACTGCTTCCATTTGTTTTCTTCATTTTATACCATGAATGGCTTTTTTTTTTTTTCCTAAGACCCAGCTAGATGCCTAAGGTGTCTTGGTTCAGTTTTCATCTGTTCATTTCAGAGTTCTTATGCAGATGCAGCAGCAGTAAATAATGTCTTGAGTGAATGAGGCTTGTGTGTGGAATGCATCATTTGACTGTTACTAAGTGTGTCAGAATCTCTGGAGTACAAAGGGTAAGCAGAGTGGGCGCATCACCTTGTCTGGCATGCGTCATCTTTCATGGAAGGCTTGTTCCTTACTGAGATCTTCCTTTTTTTTTTTTGCACTTCCTAAAAACCGTTGGCAGGTTTTTGGCTTTTCAGCCGAGGAGCTCAACTACTGCAGACTTAAGCTGATACCTGAATAGTTGTTTCTTCTACATATCAAAAATCGGGGTAGCTGCATGTAAGGGATAGAAGTACTGAGATTTCTTTAGGTGGTGGGTGGGAAGCAGGTTTTCTAAATTTGGGGACGCTTTCCTGAAATACCACTGACTGCTGTTTTAGAGCACAATGTGGTATAGCAGTTTTTCTGTATTTGGAGAGAAGTATGAGCACAGCATGGGAGAGCGTAACATCCATGAAGTCCTGTCATTAGGAATATCCTGTGTATGTTGTTCCTCATGAGTCTCAAATGTGATGCAGAAGCGACAGCCTACTTTAATCCTGATGTGAAAAGAAATCCATGAGTTGTATGCAGGCTCCAGGATGTGAGATGATGTCAGACGTGATTCAGTTTCCTTGCAGATCAGTTTAGCTACAGGCACAGCAGTGTCTAATGCAGACCAGGAATAATAATTAGAATGGAAGAAGTGACTTGAGGAGGTCAGTTCGTTTTCCCCTATTTCTCTGTGCTTTGAAGATTATTGTTAGCCCACTTTTCTCTTGAGAAATTCAGCTTTTCTAGTTAGCAGAACTCAAAGCTGCACGCTGGCTGAGAGTAACCAAATCCCTTGCAGCTCATCCCAGGAAACGTGTCACTCTGTTCCTAGGCTGACCATGTTCTTTCTCTTCAGAATCAAGAGGTGCTCTGATGATTAATACTGTAACAAAAGACAGAGAAGGGACAATTTGAGGAATCAAGCTAGGTTTTCAAATGAGTCATTCGTTTTGAAGAGAAGTGGGAGGTATAAGCATCCCTCATGCAGAAATACACAATAGGGGCAGGGGGAAGGGAGGATAATCCACCTGCCCTTTTCCAAGAGGCTTCACAGAAATTACTGTAAACTGCTTACATGCTTCCTACTTTTCCTGCTTTCAGTATATGCATGTTGCTGCCAAGAATCGGGGCTAATACTGTACTGAAGCACTTTTCTGTATGTAGGAAGCCAGTGTATGGCTGTTTCAAAGTATCCACCTGTACTGTTTATTGTGATAAGCTACTTGAAAGTCAGGTTCCTCTGACAAGACGTCAGGAGAACAGTTGTAGCAGAAAGGTGATACAAGACACTCTGCGTGAGCGAAGCATGCTTCATTCATGAAATCTGGCAGAAAAGATGGAACAGCTTGCTGTAGGCAGCGTGTCTGAAATACGAACACCTCTCAAGGAAGCTTTAAAAAGTATCTTTCTGTGAAACTTTTCTTGAGTGGCATACACAAGATATGCTCAAGTTTTTATAAACATTGGCACTTGGATGTTTTCTCTTTTCGGCGTACGTGAAGGTTTTGGTTCTCGTTTACAGGCTTCTAGGAGGTCTTTGCTTTGAAGAAAGTAACTTAATTCTGTAAAATATGGATAATAGTACTTTTGTCTTGAAGGAAACATAGAGAGATTTGGCACTACAGAAACCTCCTATACTAAAACAAGTGTAATACAATATACAAGTCTACACAATGGTATTTTGTGAGTTCCACACTCAGAATCATGGAAGATTAGAACAAAAATACCTACAGGTGCTCTTGTTTTGCATGCTGAAACTTTAGAAGCCTTCATTTTATGGTCCTACTCTGTAAACTAGCAACTGCTTTTCCAGTAAGAACCTATTCATCCGTCTCGTAAAATGTGTGCGCTAAGTGTCACAAAGCAAACTTGCCGTGCTGCGCTTGGACTCGCTCTAGATGTGAAATCTGGTAGGAGTTAATTTGCATTGTCTCAACAGAACCTCTCTTGTTTCAGGATACTCACCAGCTAAAACTACTCAAGACGTTAGAAGGTCATGCATATGGTGTCTCTTACATTGCTTGGAGCCCAGATGACAACTACCTTGTTGCCTGTGGCCCGGATGATTGCTCTGAGCTCTGGCTCTGGAATGTACAAGTAAGTGTGACTAAGATCATAAAAATAAAACGTGGTCAGCCTGCTGCTTTTGGTTCAATATCTAAATACATTAAGCCTGAAAGAAGTCTTTTCTGCAAACTTGTTGTGCAAAGGTGGGAGTGTAAAGAAGAGATGCTGATCTCCCCGCCCCCGAGTTGAAAAAATTACTGGGGCAGCCAACAACTTCTGTACTTGGTTTGTACAGAACGTAGAGTTTGAGTCGCAGTGCCTGGGACTGTGCAGCAATTCTTGTGTATCTGGTTGCTGATCGTTTCTCAGAGGAGATGTGTAAATCCATAGGGCTTAGGGAGCTACTGAGGAGACCAACAGTAAATTTTTTGAGGGAAACAAAGGGCAGAATTGTTGTCTGAGGAGAGCAATTCCTCATTTAAGATCTTAACAAGCAGCAAGAGTAAACGATATGATCTATTTTTTTTTTAACTTGTGTAATGCTCCCAGTGATGTTAGTTGAATATGCACAGAGGCTTAGATTTATGACTTCAGAACTTCATCTTTCAGTCACACACTAAGGCGTTTTGCCATTTCCTCTGTGAATTTGAAAATCCTTTTCTGCGGTTGATTTTAATGGGCACTTGAGTTGACATCAAAGCTTCCCCTGCCTCAGTTTTGGGCTACATAGTCTTTCTTGTGCTGCCTTGGACTCTGAACTGATTTAGTTTCCTAAACCAAAAAGGTTCCCTTTTTTCCCACCCTTGGAATACTTCCCTTCTGTTCAGTTGACTAAGCTGGCTCAGTGAAGAGCACTAGAGCTGGCACAAGGGAATAGAGAGAAGCCCTTACTGTTCTGACAGTGGTAAGCCACTCATTGGCCCTCTGTTTTGTTAAACAGGAGCATTATAAGCTAGGGGTGAAAGCTAAACTTTGGCCTAGAGCTCCAGCTCAGGGAGGAAAATGTTCTAAAATACTCTGGTACTCCCAACTTCTTACTAAAATGTATTTTGTCATCTCTGTTTTCTTTTAGTCTCCTCCTGCCTCCTTGCTTTCCATGTCTGGCCTCTATTTTGTTATTTCATGTTGCTTCTCTTATGTGTTCTTCCAACTTCTTTTCATTCCTCTCTTTACTCATAATCTTCCAGTAGTCTGACACCCCAACTAGTCCATCTCTCCTGATCTGAGTGACAAAAGAAATTGTCAGGATCGCTGGATATGTTGAAGTAGTTCTGCCTTTTTACTGCATTATTCATATGTCTGTGTTGCTTTTTAATAAACGTATTTAAATACATGCGCTTCCAAACACTATGCATGTCAGATAATTTTATCGATGCCTTTTTGGGAAAGGATTCTAGTGTAAGGCCTTGCTGCCTTTGTTTATTTTCCAGACTGGGGAGCTGAGGACAAAGATGAGCCAGTCTCATGAAGACAGTTTAACAAGCGTGGCCTGGAATCCTGATGGGAAGCGTTTTGTGACGGGAGGTCAGCGTGGGCAGTTCTATCAGTGTGTAAGTTCTCTGTATTTTTGCCCCTTAAACAAAGTGAGAAATGAAAGTGTCGTCATAGTCAAACCCAAGGTTCATCTTTCTTCACACGTGTGTACGCTACAACATCTGATCTTTTGTAATTCAGAGAAGCAATGCATTAATGCGAGTATTTCAACAGCACTTCCCTATGTAGCAGTTAAAGGGGTTCACGCACCTTTTGTCTGCCTCAAGGGGGATTTGTGGGCTGGGAATTTTCTTGGCTGATCTCGAATTTTCTTAGCTGCGCTAGAAAATACACTAATAAAAAGTATTGCCTTTGCCCACAGGGCAATGTCTCTTACTTCACAGGATTTGACTGTCTTAGTTTTTGCATGCTGTTTTTGCTTAGCGTAACCAGAAATTTGAAACCCTCATTACTTGACTAGAGTTGATTTTTTGGATGATGGTCCACAGTCTCACCCATACTCCTGATCATTTGTCATCTGAATTGGTGCCCAGAATAATAGTGCGGTATGCAAACCTCGTTCACTGCGAAGGTGAGCTCCGTGACATGATGTAGATTGCACGTCTCACACGTGAGAAAGTGAAGAAAGGGATTCTCGGCTCTCCAGGACAGATAACGCAACAAAAGGTCTCAGTTAAGACAACCAAATCCTAAATCATTAAGTTCTCGCTCTCACAGGGTAAGATAGATTCCTTACTGTAGCAACTGTCTGAACAGAAGATTCAAGAGATTCTTGTGTCACAACTCCTCAGAAATCTGAGGCTAACAGTTCCATTTCTTCTTTCTTTTTTTTTCCTTTTTTTTTTTCTTTTGACCAGGATTTAGATGGTAATCTCCTTGACTCCTGGGAAGGGGTGAGAGTACAATGCCTTTGGTGCTTGAGCGATGGGAAAACTGTTCTAGCGTCGGACACACACCAGCGAATTCGGGGTTATAACTTTGAGGATCTTACAGACAGGAACATGTAACTACCTCTTTCTTTGGTTTTGAATTCCTGGTTCTTGGTTTTAGAAGAAGATTGAGAAAGGGGTTCTGGGGCAGGATGGGAAAAAAGTTATTAGAATGCTCTCAGTATTAAAAGGAGAATAACGTGGGACAAGAATTAATGAGTTCCAGTTGCTGCAAGAAGCATTAGATTGAGTATTAGAAATAACTTGCTAAGCACTGGAGTAGGTTTCTTGTGCATGTTTTGACATTCCTGTCACCAAGAGCTGTAGTCTTCTCAATTCCTGGCATATTTTAGTAGATCCTTGAAGTTATGAGTTGGATTTGACGTCTGAAGTCCCTTTTGGTCTTATGCTGATGACAGATCCCATTGCAGACCTGGCTTGTACTGCCATAGAGACACACCTGCTTCAAATTCAGAACTGCCTTTCCCTGATAATACTGCAGAGACAGGATGTGCCTTTTGTCTTGGTGTTGCATCATTGTTTGGTTAAGTCTACTCTTAACACTGATGTGTTGTCTTGTTTCAGAGTACAAGAAGATCACCCTATTATGTCGTTTACTATTTCAAAAAATGGGCGTTTAGCTTTGTTAAATGTAGCAACTCAGGTGAGTTGGTGATGATAAATGGAAATACAAATAAATCTGCTGGCAGCTGCCACCTGTTTACATGTATTTTGATGCAAATTGGAATGTTTGATATTAATCAGTTCTATTTTGTGTACTATGAAGGCTGCAATATTCATAAATATTAATTCTCTGGCAAGAAGGCGAACTTATTCCTGAGACTTGTTTGTGACTGATTATAGTGAAGAGTTTCATACTATGAAATATGTACTGTTAAAAGTAAACATCTGGCTGTTGCATTGAGAAGCCAGGT